TTATTAACTTTCTACCGTTTGCTTATAGAAACGCAAAATAATAGCCAATCAAAGCGTGTTGCCCTCAAATATTCCTTCAAGTTGAAAACACCGCGTTTCCAATTAACTGGGAGATGGTGACAGTCTCGGAGCGGCGGTATTAAACCCAGCGGCCAAAGTAACACAACTGTATGCCACAGTTAAAAGGAGCTGGTGCTTAAGGCTAGCCCCGATTAAGAGTGTCAGAGAAAGTGATAGGGAGTAGACGTTTCCTCCTATTCCGTTTTCCTCCTTGCCGATTATTACCACCAGTTCAGTATGGTGTGCTTTATTCCTTTGGTAGTGTTGGGAAGCTCTTTCAGTAGGACCGGGGTTATTGTATTTTTGCTCCATGGTTTCAACTGTATCTTGAGCCTAGCGGGGTGGCACTTGACAGGTCTTGGATACTTGTAATTTGGAATGAGTTAAAAGACACATTTTCTGGTTTACCACTCACCAGAATTTAACATTTTCTGTTCTTCAAAGATTACAGAAATGATCACATGGCATTGATCTATTTGTTTTACATCATAACACGTTTACTACAAGTCTCTTATATTTAAAGGAGTGAGAGGAGGGAGAAGAAGGAGGGAGAGAGAGAGAGAGAAAGAGAGAGAGACAGAGAGAGAGAGACAGAGAGAGAGAGACTAACTCATTAAAATTAAAGTATTTTCCAAAATTATTGCAGTCATATTATCCACTCCAGTTCTCAGTTTTCAGCCTCATAGAGATCTGAACACAAACTCAGTTTATCTAAAACAATTGTAGAGAAAGGAACTCTCTACAATTTCTGTGCTGGGCCCTATTTAAGAAAAAATTTTTCAGTTTGGTCATGGATATTGTGATACTCACTTACAGAATTTGTTTTTTAAGTGATGAATTCAATTCACATCCTAGTTACTTACTAATTCTCCCTCTCTATGGAATTTTCTATTAGGAAGTACAATGGTTATTATTGTCAAGATGACAATATCAAGAGTCACTGAAGACAGGGGAGGAGGGTGTCCCTAGTCATGTCTGTGGGGAGCTATCTAGGTTAGATGAATTGAGATGGGAAGACCCACCTTAAACATGGGCAGTGCCATTCCGCAAACATGGGCCCTGGACCGAGTACAAAGAAGTGTGCTAAACTCCCTGGCTATGTGAACCTCGAGACTATCACCTCCTCAAGTGTGCCACAGTGGCTTCTCTGCCCTGATCCCTTAGACCTTTAAGCCAGAATCAACCTCTCCTCTCTTAAGTTGCTGTTGGTGGTGGTTGGGTATTTATTTGGTTCCAGCAATGGGGAAAAGTCACTAATACTGTTATAGAAAGAGTAGGTTCTCGTAATGAGAAATCACTGTGCACGGTTAGGGATGAAGGATGACAGCGCTTGACTGGCTCTTGGCAAATGCCCAAGCAAGAGATGGCGTAGAACAGAAGATTTCCCTAACTTACATACACCTTAGCTTTCTGCATTCCACCACACTATCAGGCTTAAAGGACATTTTAAGGTCTGGCCCAGTTTACAGTTTGAACAGAGACAGGAGACTACACGTCTGACCACTTGGGGAGACTTACACAGTCAAGACTGGCCAGAATCCACTCTAAAGTACACTAGTGTCATTCTTTTCCACACAGTTGTCACCCAGGTCTGTCTTCCCCACCTTAGAGAATTAGGCTTCTCATAATAAGAGCACGGGGACTTAATGCAGGCCAGAAGTTAGTGATTCAGGTCGCGATGCCTGTTAGAGGCTTTGGGGGAATGGGTCTAATGACCCATCCATCCTCGTGAACATTTACAACCTAGCACTGTAAATTTTGCTTATCTCTAACAGACCTAGTTAAGCATACTAATTATTTTGGGGATCAACGCCCCCTTAGATAAATCCTACATTGTGTGATTGAATGTCTCCCAAGCAAATCTACTATCCCCTTATAACATTAATTCCATTATGTAACTCAGTTTCTATCTGGAGCCCATTCTGACTTCACAGTCATTTGAGTTCAAGCATGCCTGCTCTGTCTGCTTGCTCCAGCATCCTTGAGAGCTGTGAGAAAGTTCTGATTAAGCCCATGGGAAAGAACATTTTGTCCATGATAGAGAACATACCATCTATTAAGGTACAGGCTGTTGAACGCCAGTCAAAGGCACATCCAGTTAGAAAGTAAAAACTGCTTGCTGCTAGCAGGATTCACAGGATAGACAATGAGGCTACAATTCCTCTTTATCTCAAGGACAGCACAGGAAGGTGGTTAACTGATGACGTTGTTCTGTGATCTGCTTTTTACCTCGTATTAGTATATATGCTGGCTGAGAGATAAACTCGGGGCTGTTTGGCTTGACCAACAGACCTCCCAAATCTATCCTGTGTTTCCTGTCCTAATTTCTCTCAATCTAACATTTCATTAGCCTCAGCACCCCCCATCCAGGTACCCTGGCTGGCTTTGTTGGAGCAGGCTCTGACACCATTACTTTGAGCTTCTTCTACCCCAGCATGACAAGTATAAAATCAACAGAGAACAGCTGTATGAAGACACTTTTGAGCCAGCTCATAGGACGTCTGGGCAGAAGAATCAAGAGTTTAAAGTCGTCCTTGTCTGCATAGCTAGTTCAAGGACAGTTGGCCTACAGGACTCTTTGTTTCGACAACACAGAGTCATTTTGAGAGAGCACCTCATGGGAAGTCGTTTTCTTTGTACAGCAAATCCCTTTGCCACAGCTGAAACAAATCTTTTCACGTTCACATTTGTGAGTGAAACATTCCTAGAAACAGGCTGCTTCTGGTAGAAGAGCCTCTGGAGAGCCCTTCTGACTCAGAGAGAAGGGAGCAGGAAGGGTAGACCCTCAGAAAATTCCACAGAAGGCAGTGGAATGTGGCGGGCAGAGCTACAACCTCCCTTTCTTCAAAGCATTTACACACTTTCGAGCTCTGGACGTATGGAGATTTTCTAACCTCCGAATTTCCTAGACAGGACCAGGAACTCTGTGTGGGGCGATAGTCTCGAGGCAGAGAACTGAGTGTTAACTGGTGAGGTCTAGAGAAGGAAAGGGGGACTGAGACCCACATATCAGCCTCACCTTCCTGCCACAGGCAACATCTGGATAAAAACCAAATAAATGAGCATCTCAGCAGTTCTGGCCAGTCTCTATTGAGCTGTAAGCTATCCTGATACATCAAAGGCAGCTAAAGACCCCCATGACGACAGTTAGGTTATCCCCCTGAAAGAGCATAAAATCCCCTGGAATTTTCTTTGTGCACCTCCGACTTCTGAGACTTTGGCAATTTGTTCTGACATCTCTTAGCTCTTTTGTGAATAATCATCGATACTGCTCCAAGCCAATCTTCCTGTGTCAAGCCTGGTTGCGTTTATCTTCCAGTAACTGCGGACTCTTCAGCATCAGGCCTTGAAAGCACCAGCCCTTCAAAATCCTGCACACAGAGACTCATGACAACAGCGGAGGACCCGTGCTGTTGCTAGGCATCATAAAATGAACCTGATCCAGCAACTGATACTTCAGATGAAGAATTTTACCGGGCAAAGTTCAGAGATTTTGACACAAAAGTAACGATTAAAACTTAAAACTTTGCCTCTAATTGCAGGTGCTCAGGCCAATGATAGAGGATGACTTCAGCCAGTGAACTGGCTGGGCAGCATATGGAGAACTTGTTTGAGGGGAAAGTACAAATATAATAAGATCTGGATCTGGTACTGCTGCTTTTTCCTCTTAAAATATGTGCTGCTTTCTGGAATACAGACTGGCAACTTTCTTTTCTGTTCAAAAATCTTAATTGTTGAGATGTTAAAGTCAGAAGGAAACAGTTCTCTCTGGTTCTCAAAGATGAGTGGAAATAAAGAAAAAGGGTCATCAGTTCACTAAAGGGTCATTTTAAATGTCGTTGGAGATCCTTGCTTCATCTAAATAGACTGGAGAGAAAAAGAGAGAAGGGGAGAGAAGGGAGCCTTAAAAACAAACAGAAAACAGAGCAAAAAAAAAAAAAAGGAAAAAGGAAAAAGAAAAAAGAAAAAAAAAAAAACAACTTAGGAAGTTAACTTGCCAAGGGAGCTGGACTAGGAATCAGTCCTCAGGCTGATTCTTCTTACCTCTACCCTCATCATTTTTACTTCTTGTAAGACAGAAGGGAAAACCACTAGAGAAAAAGGGAGGGAATTTTAGGGACAAAACTGAGGAAGACCAAGTAGAAGAGACTACATCACAGACACAGACAAATAAGTAACTAGCATATTAACTCCTTGTATTTAGTTATTTGGCATTGTATACACGTATCAAAACATCATACTGTGTCCCAACTAATGCATAAAACTTTTCCTTGCCAGTTAAGAATAATGTTAAAAATAGAACGAAGGTAACATAAGTAGAAAAGAATGATTGTTTTCATGACATCATGAAATTTTCAGCAAATGGATGGAACTAGGGGGAAAAAAAAAAGATCCTAAGGTAACCCAGACCAAGAAAGACAAACATGGTGTAGTCACTCAGAAGTGGATATTAGGTGTAAAGGATAACTAGGCTACATTCCACAGCCCCAGAGAGCCTAAGTAATAAGTAGGACCCAAAGAGGGATGTATGGATTTCCCAGGGAAGGGGCAATAGAAGAGATCTCCAGTAATGACTCACCTTTACCCACTCAGCATTGCTGAACTGTGATTACACTGCCTCTTTACCTATTTAGGAATGAAAAGTTGGCTTGACCCGGACCCAAAGGACAGTGACACGAGTAATGCAAAGTTCGAATGACCTGTACACTTAATAGAAATAACTTTACAAAAGAAACCGCCTTAAACTATCAAAATAAAAAGGACAATCCTTGGACGGCGAGCCCTTGGACTTACTGCCCAAATATTCATACTATCATGGGAAGGTGGGGCTTGCCTCGCCAAAGAGCAATACAGGAAATGGGTGAGAGAGAAGGAATGTCGTGTAACAGCTTTTTCATACGAAATTGTGGGTGGCTCTGAAAAGAGCCTTTGGGTTAAGAGAGAGATGGACACGCTCACTTGGAGCTGGTGTACTTGGTGACGGCCTTGGTGCCCTCGGACACGGCGTGCTTGGCCAGCTCCCCAGGCAGCAGCAGGCGAACGGCCGTCTGGATCTCCCGGGACGTGATGGTCGAGCGCTTGTTGTAGTGCGCCAGGCGCGACGCCTCGCCAGCAATGCGCTCGAAGATGTCGTTGACGAACGAGTTCATGATGCCCATGGCCTTGGAGGAGATGCCGGTGTCGGGGTGGACCTGCTTCAGCACCTTGTACACGTACACCGAGTAGCTCTCCTTGCGGCTGCGCTTGCGCTTCTTGCCGTCCTTCTTCTGCGCCTTGGTCACGGCCTTCTTGGAGCCCTTCTTCGGGGCGGGCGCGGATTTCGCAGGGTCAGGCATAGCGAAGAACAAACGAAAGAGAAGAAACACAGAAATACAACGATCTGCGGTTGTGACAGGCACTGGTCCCTTTTTAAACAAACTTGTGGCTATGGTTGGTATGAATCGCAAAACGTCATCTATAAACTGTCCAATCAAAGAAAGAAGTTTTTAAAAACCACGGTGCCGTTGGTGTTTATGTGCAACCAATGAAATTGCTCCGTTTTCGCGCCCTACGGTAACTATAAAAAGGGCCAGTGTTGCTTTTTTGCAGCTATACTTTTATCCAGTTAGGATTGTATCATGTCTGGACGCGGCAAGCAGGGTGGCAAGGCTCGCGCCAAGGCCAAGACCCGCTCCTCCCGGGCCGGCCTGCAGTTCCCCGTGGGCCGCGTGCACCGTCTCCTCCGCAAGGGCAACTACGCGGAGCGGGTGGGCGCCGGCGCCCCGGTGTACCTGGCGGCCGTGCTGGAGTACCTGACGGCTGAGATCCTGGAGCTGGCTGGCAACGCGGCCCGCGACAATAAGAAGACGCGCATCATCCCGCGCCACCTGCAGCTGGCCATCCGCAACGACGAGGAGCTCAACAAGCTGCTGGGCCGCGTGACCATCGCGCAGGGCGGCGTCCTGCCCAACATCCAGGCGGTGCTGCTGCCCAAGAAGACCGAGAGCAGCCACCACAAAGCCAAGGGAAAATAAGTCGTTTAAAACAACCTTTTAGCTATGCCAAAGGCTCTTTTCAGAGCCACTCACCCTTTCTCTAAAAGAACTGACCATTACGGAAAGAATAATGGCTGGTAGGGCATTATGAGATTTGTTCTAGCCGGGCGGTGGTGGCGTACGCCTTTAATCCCAGCACTCGGGAGACAGGCGGATCTATGAGTTTGAGGCCAGCCTGATCTGAAAGAGCTAGTTCCAGGACTGGCTCCAAAAGCTACAGCGAAACCCTCTCTCGACCCCCCCCCCCCCCCAAGAAACAACTGTTGCCCCACCGTTTGCTCAAATCACTGGTCCTGTATGTTCCGCTACATTAAGTCAAAATCTTATTACCTCCTGAATTTTCTAGAGGTTAAGACAGACAATTTGGTCACTGAATGTTCAACTCGACACTTCGAGACCTTCATATTTACTGGGAAATAACTAGTCACTGAGTACAGTCCTCACTTGAATGTTGATTTGTAAGCATGACTGAGAAATCAGCCGCCATTTGCTAATATCAAAACCAACTAAGAATGTCAAGTAATTTGGTGATGCCACGGTTAAACACTTTTCCATTTCCCGCCTTCTTTGCTCTGTGCAAATTAAAATTCACGAATTGTAGGGCCCAAATTGCTAATCATTTAAAACCGCTTTTAAAAGTCACTACCTGATACGTTATCTTTTCGTATAATCTGAAACAGAAAGAAGGCTTTAAAATAAACGCTTTAAGAAGAATTAATTGATTTCCGATGAAGGCCGTCGGGTTGTCTTTTAGCGAAAATTCCACACTATTGCTCAAAAAACACAAATTATGCAGAAAACAAAAGGAGTCAACAGCCAATTAAGTTGTTCCTGCAGCCATTTGGACCAATCAGAATCCGCTCCTCCGTATAAATTTTGGTCGCGCTTCTTCCAGGCTCAGAGTTTCCTTTGTGAACTTAAGCTAGTAGTAATGGCTCGTACTAAGCAGACCGCTCGCAAGTCCACCGGCGGCAAGGCCCCGCGCAAGCAGCTGGCCACCAAGGCTGCTCGCAAGAGCGCGCCGGCCACCGGCGGCGTGAAGAAGCCCCACCGCTACCGGCCCGGCACCGTGGCGCTGCGCGAGATCCGGCGCTACCAGAAGTCGACCGAGCTGCTGATCCGCAAGCTGCCGTTCCAGCGGCTGGTGCGCGAGATCGCGCAGGACTTCAAGACCGACCTGCGTTTCCAGAGCTCGGCCGTCATGGCGCTGCAGGAGGCTTGCGAGGCCTACCTGGTGGGTCTGTTTGAGGACACCAACCTGTGCGCCATCCACGCCAAGCGCGTCACCATCATGCCCAAGGACATCCAGCTGGCCCGCCGCATCCGCGGGGAGAGGGCTTAAGTTGGTCTCTGCAGTGTTTTTTTCAAAGGCTCTTTTCAGAGCCACCCAAATCTGCACGGAAGGAGCTGTTTGCTTCTGTTTGGGCCTTGCCATTTTAGAATTTTACCCTTAGGAAGACACTAGCTCACTTCCTTAGTATATTTCTGACCGGTTTGTTTCCTGAGGCATGTATTTAATAAGTGCCAGGTTTGGTTTTCAAACTCCCTAAGTTAATGGTACCTTCCTGTGTTTAGCGAGCTACTCCAGAATAAATACGTTTGGGTTAAAATTAAAGAGTGTTGGGCTTACTTGTTCCTAAGTGTATTTGGTCAGTTTCTATATCCTGACGTAGCCATTGAAGCCAGTCCAAAGCCATCTTTTTCGGTATATTTACAGCTTAAGCTTCGATAACAGTCTGCAACACCGTCGCTCTTCCCCGATTATAATTTCATAGTGTCCGCTTTTACGAATTTGCAAGTAGCAGCAGATGTGCTCAAAAAGTGAGGTGATTAATCTTTACATGTTTGCACGACTTGTGTACCTGATGCTCTCAGGCCAGACCAGGGGATAGGGTCCCCTGCAACTAGTGTTCTAGAGGGTTGGGAGTGAAGGGTTAAACTCTCCCACTCTCAACTGAGTTCAGGTGTCTCTTTGAGAAAGGCAAAACAGGTGTCTTCCAAGATGGGCCACTTATCCGCAATACCCTTACTCCCAGGGACAAGAGAAAACACAGGCCTAAGTCAGGTCAGCCTCAATGTCTCAAGGGCAAGTCCTGCAGCCCCCCTGACTCAAAGTCCGAACTTGCCCAAACTTGTGCAAATATGTCCAAAAATGGATAACAGTTTCAGCCAATTAAAAGTATACTAATGTACCTGCTGTTTGCTTAACCAATTATATGTGAGATGACCTAACTTCTTGAAACTTTTAAGGAACTTACATAGTCCTCTCGGGGTCGTCGCCATTTTGTATAGGTCAACAACCTGCATATTAATTAATCAATAAATAAACACTTAGCTTTTACATACTGTTTGAGTCTAGGGTCTCCTTTAGCATTTCCTCGCACCCTTATTTACGTGAGCCACCATGTGGTCTTGGGAATCTGAGGTCTTTCTGGAAGAGCTACAAGTCGCTTTAGTCGCTCAGCCGTCTCTCCACTCCCATGAAGGGAATTTGTATTGGTTTGGATAGTCCTGGAAATGCGTTAAGAATCCTCGGATAAATGGATGAGTGGGTGGAGAAGCAGCAAGAAAACCAGATGGAAGATGCAAAACTTGTGATCAGCCGAAGTACTTAAACCAGCTTCCCGTGGCCTGTGAGGGCCGTCCTTGAGTTTCTGGGTGCATGTATCTTTCTCACATTCATTTTCCTTTTCCTCAAAGCGTTCAGCTTCTCCTGGCCAAGTGACCTAATAGCATTCCTGCCTCAGCTTGTCAGGAGGCTCACTGGAAAAAATAGCACTGTGCAAGAGAGAGAAGGAGTTCTGGTCCCTGGCGATCATGTGCCTGCCTGTAACTCCAGTACAAGGGAGGGGGAGGCAGAGAAAAATTGACTAACTTAACTACTGAGTCCCTCAGCTCTGGATCAGATTGGGAGACCTCAACTGAAGGTCACAAGAAGCACTCAAGCCAGAGTCAACCCCTGGCCACACACCTGCATTCCGTGCACACACATTACCATACACACCACACACAAACACAGAATGGCCCTCACTACAGATGAAACGTTTGTCTTTGCATCCAGGCTGAGCCACTTGTCGACTGGACAGCAATCTGGACACTCTTTCCTTTTAGAGTAACACTATGCTATATTACAAACTCTAGACGGCCTCACACGGGATTTTGTTGGTTTTTTTGTTTCAGGCTTGCACTGATCAATACTCAGTATACATTTCACAGTTTTAGCTTTTCGGGTAGAATTCCATGGAATGTTCTTTCAGGGGCAGTGATAAGATATGCCTACGTATACGTTTTATTTTGTTTCTGACAATATTCCATGTGGTGGCTATCATGGTAGTGTGGTCAGATCATCCTCTAAATAAACTTTAAAAACTCAAGCACACCTCATAAGAATGTCTTTTTGCTTTTGTAATGGCATATAAAAGTGAATACTAGGTGACAGATGGGACATAGTTTTGGCATGTCCTAGTGGGTAGACATTAATGTTCTTTATCAAGACAAGGACACGTAAAGAATTGAATTGTTGAGTAATAGATCTAGGATATGTGTTTAGTTTTATTTTTGTTTTTTGTTTTCCTAGAAGAAATCTTGGAGTTAGCAGAAAGGTAACATAGAGGGGTTAAGTCTCCCACAGACATAAAGATCTGGAATTCAGTAGTATAGCAAACATATTTAAAACCAAAGGAGAGGGGTATCTCTTGGAACTTTTGCCTTATTGTCAATATCAAACTTCCTAATTTGCTTGTTCCTCTCAGGCATGAATCTGCGCTTATGGGCATTCTCTGCTGGATCCACATAGTACCCCTCAATAATCATCTCCTTTAATCTCCTGAGCAGATGTTACCCTCTGTAGATTTTTATTCTTTAAAAGCACCATGCTCCTGTTCCCCTACGTCTGCACACTTCTTCACCCTTCTTATGCTGTTTACTCACTTCTGGATTTCTCCTCCCTAGATGGTTTCTGTAGCTCAGACACTATATCTATGGGTGAGGGGAATTGGTTCTGAATGAATAGTTAGAATTTAAGTAGGTAAAATAACAGTCACTCTCCTTGAGCTTCTTGAGACAACGTAACTGTTACATGATATAAATATAAATTTTCTTTCCATTATCCAGATTTCCTGTATGCTAATATAGACTGCATCAAGGGTATTTGACCCCACAGTTCCCCAAATGGCCTTTGGCTTTCCAGGAGAAATTAAGCTTCCTGAAAACGGGTTGTCTGCTTATTAGTTTTAGTACTTCTGTGGTTGGGATGGCACATTCAATATCATCATTATTACCGTAGTCTCATTTAGGAACCATCCCTGGCCATCTGTGTGTGTGTGTGTGTGTGTGTGTGTGTGTGTGTGTGTGTGTGTGTTCAGTATATAAACACTTAACTCGTTTGATTATAGCAAATGAATTTTTGTTTTTGAGATGGGGTCTCCTGGCTGGCCAGGAACTCAAGAGCTCTCCCTGTGTCTGCCTCCTGAACACTGGGTTTAGAGATGTGGGACACCCCGGCAAAGCAATGTTCCTAACAGTTTATGAGATGAGCCAATATTCTAAGACAGCAAAGTACAGTGGTTAACTGCAAATATTCATAACAGGAAAATAAAGCTAGAAACATTTTATTTTCTAAACTTTTATTAATTTATAGACCCACCACATATAGCAATCCTACTTCCTCGGTACTTGGCTTCTTCCAACTCAGCTGTCCCAATGCCTCAAACAGCAACAATGTTATTTACAGGTACGGACCACCCATACCTGTACCTGGCTTGTGAAATTTAATTTCGGTGTTACAGTAGCAGAATCATGTATATGAATACTGATCACTATAGAAAATTTAAGTTGTGTTCTCAATGGACATGTTAATAGATGGTCAACCTCTCCCTACCTGTAACTCCATCTCCATTTTATTTCCAAGCTGAGTCATAAACAGAGACAGAGGTATCAAAGATTAAGTCAAAAACAGCTAAGCTAATACTGCTTAGTTTCTTTAAAAATATGTATCTATTCTTAGTTACAACTGGGTGGGGCGTGCACATGTGAAAGCCAGAAGGCAAACTTATGGGGCTTGATTCTCTCTCCTTCCATGTGGGCTCATGGGATTGAACTCAACTATTAAGTGCAACGAAGACTTCCTGGCTCTGGACTAGGTCACTAACTGAACTTTATTCATACAAAACTGGAGACTGCAGAAAACTTGTTCCTTAGATGTGATGCTCCAGGCACAAAGCAATAAAACACAAAGTGCTGCGGCCACCTTCTACAGAGTTCCACCTTCCAGGAACTCTACACTGGAACCACACGGAAACCTAATCAGTGTTCCATTTGGAATAGTTTATGACCCAAAATAACTAATTTTAACAAGGCATTTGTCATGTAGGCCTATAATCTGAACTTGAACAAAACTGAGGTAGAGCCAAGTTCTCCGTTGGGTTCCAGATAACTTTAGTAACTCAACAGAACAAAATTAAAGTAAGACTTAATGGAATAAGCACAGATCCAAGTGTCACTCTTCTTTTGAATACAGAATGGGGCTCTGAAAAGAGCCTTTGTTTCTAAGAGCTTTCCGAAAATGATACCGTTTACTTGGCCTTGTGGTGGCTGCTCTCGGTCTTCTTGGGCAGTAGCACCGCCTGGATGTTGGGCAGGACGCCGCCCTGCGCGATGGTCACGCGGCCCAGCAGCTTGTTGAGCTCCTCGTCGTTGCGGATGGCCAGCTGCAGGTGGCGCGGGATGATGCGCGTCTTCTTGTTGTCGCGGGCCGCGTTGCCAGCCAGTTCCAGGATCTCGGCCGTCAGGTACTCCAGCACGGCCGCCAGGTACACCGGGGCGCCGGCGCCCACCCGCTCCGCGTAGTTGCCCTTGCGGAGGAGACGGTGCACGCGGCCCACGGGGAACTGTAGGCCGGCCCGGGAGGAGCGGGTCTTGGCCTTGGCGCGAGCCTTCCCGCCCTGTTTGCCACGTCCAGACATTGTGAACTAAAGGTCTATAATTTACCTACTAAACTGGGAGAGCAGGTCAATCTTTATATTTACACGGTGGCGCTAAAAAAGAAGACGTGGTATTGGTTAGAAGTGTATTTTCATGTTAACCAATAGAAGTACCGGTTTGGAAATGTGTATTGTGATTGGACAAAACGAACATCAACTAACCAATAGAATCGCGTCTAAATTTTCACCTTATTTGCATATGGAAATCTATATAAGGAGTGCGTTCGCTTGGCTGTAGGCGTTGTTAATTGACGTTGTTGAGTAATTTACCATGCCTGAGCCAACGAAGTCGGCGCCCGCCCCGAAGAAGGGCTCCAAGAAAGCCGTGACCAAGGCGCAGAAGAAGGACGGCAAGAAGCGCAAGCGCAGCCGCAAGGAGAGCTACTCGGTGTACGTGTACAAGGTGCTGAAACAGGTCCATCCCGACACCGGCATTTCCTCCAAGGCCATGGGCATCATGAACTCGTTCGTCAACGACATCTTCGAGCGCATTGCTGGCGAGGCGTCGCGCCTGGCGCACTACAACAAGCGCTCGACCATCACGTCCCGGGAGATCCAGACGGCCGTGCGCCTGCTGCTGCCCGGGGAGCTGGCCAAGCACGCCGTGTCCGAGGGCACCAAGGCCGTCACCAAGTACACCAGCTCCAAGTGAGCGCGCCCATCTCGCTCTTAACCCAAAGGCTCTTTTCAGAGCCCCTCACGACTTCGTATAAAATAGCTGTTACACGACGTTCCTTCTCTCCTCCATTTCCTGTATAGCTATTTGGCGATGCAATCTTCGCCTCCCTGTGCCAGTAGCAATATGTGGCCACCCAAATGTTTATACTGGAATGGCTGTATAAGACTTGTGTTTAGTATTGGAACCCAAAATCCCACAAGCCCTCCAGATCCTTGAGCTGCTTATCTTGGCCCCTACTAGATATTTTAAGTATGCCCTTGAGATTTTTCAATCGTAATTTGGTTCCATCTTTAACAAGTTTGACAACAGGATTGTGTTACTTTGCCCTTGTTCTTGTGGCACCATAACTTGGCCACGCCTTACTGAGGATTTCACTTTATATTCTAGGCACCTGGTCTCCTTGGCTTTGATTTCACCCTGAACACCTAACTTGCCTCAAATTTTGCATCTTTGGGCCTTAACTTTTTGGCTAATTGGGGTTATAGGCCTATACAACCAAGTGTTGTTTTACATCCGGTTTTTTTCTATCAGTCTGCCTGGTAACCTTAGGTCTCTTGTTGATTTTAAAAATTGTCTTCTGTTGATTTTTAACTATGTATATAAGAATGTATTAGTGTGATGTTTCAAAAAGGAATTTAAAGGAGAAAACCTCAGTGAGTCTTAATGTGATTTATATTTTTATATAGTTTTGGGATTCTGCTTACAAAGAATTTTTGTTTCTTAATCATAAAATACTAGGTAAAAGTTCATTCAACTATAATAGAAATCTCTAGAAAAGGAAAGTTATTTCTAAATTCTCTTAGTGGCATAGAAAGTGCAATGGGATGGTAATCACCTAAATGTAGGTAATAGGATATTGTCGTAGTTTTGTGTTGCTGTTGTAAACACCATGTCCAAGAACAAGCTGAGGAGGAAAGGCTTTATTTGACTTACAAGTCCTTCCTGATTTAGTCCACTGAAGAAAGTCAGGGCAGGAACTCAAGCATTAGCAGATGCAGAAACCAGATTCATTCATATTCAAAGTTTTTCTCCTACCTCCCAGGACCACCTCAGCCAGGGATGGCACTGCTCCCTGTAAACTTAGTTCAATCACATCGATCAGAATTATGTACAGGGCAATCCGATAAAGGTATTCTCTTCAGCCAGGTGGTGGCGCACGCCTTCAATCCAAGCACTCGGGAGTCAGAGGCAGGTGAATCTCTATGAGTTCGAGGCCAGCCTGGTCTACAAGAGCTAGTTCCAGGGCAAAGTCCAAAGCTTCAGAGAAACCCTGTCTCGAAAAACCAAAAAGAAAAAAAGAAGAAGAAGAAGAAGGAAGGGGAAGATATTCTTTCCAACTGAGGGTCCCTCTTTCATCATATGACTCTAGCTTGTGTCAAGTAGGCAAAAACTAGGCAGCCCAAACATCAGTGAATTTTAGCTATGGTATAGTCAGATGTTAATATGCCTGTCTAACCATTTGTTTATTATCTCTAATCTCTATAGTATCCTGTGGAACAAATTTTATTGTCTTCCTTCTTTTAAAGTTGAGGAAATTAAATGAGGATGGACTACACAGAAGTCGCAGCTACTATCCTGTCTTGTTTGACTGCAAAGACTGAGCTGTGAACTGTTCTCCAAAATAATCGTACCGTCCCTGAAAAGAAAATCTCTACTACACTGTAAAGTGAAATACCTCAAATTCTGTCAAATTTCAATAAAATTTCTTTCATTGATTTGTTTACTCGTGTTTTTTTGTTTTGTTTTGTTTGTTTTTTGTTTTATTTTGTTTTAAAGAGTGAGAGTTTGCTTTATAGCCAGACTTGCTTGGAACTTGAGTCCTCCTATCTCAGCCTGCTACATGCTGTGACTGGAGGCTTGTCCACCAGGCCCAGACACACACTCAGAGGTAGAGTTTCAGCCTGAATTCCTGCAAGAGGGTAAACTCTGACATTCATTACAGTCCAGAGAATGTTCTGTGATAATTAGAACTCGAGTTGGTTTACTAAATATATAACAAGTCAAAAGCAACTAAATAAAAATAATGAGAGATGCAGCAGATAAACAGTAAAACCTCAACAAAACGGACCTCAAAACATCCGGCAGCCATCAGCTGAGGAAGCCGTCAGCTGGATCTCATGGAGTCCTTGGCAGAAGGGGCTCTTCCTGTAATGTGAAAGCAAAGAGCAGCGGAAGAGATAATACCATCAAATCAGATGCTTACAGGATATAGCAGGAACCAACTGGGGAAGCTGCAGGCGGCTGGAGTTTCCTGTTGGGGCTTTGTCGTCCACTACTAAGCTTCCCATAACTGAAGAACTGAAGTCCTAGGTTTTTGTTGTTTTGTTTGTTTGTTTTCCCCTTTGAGGCAGGGCTCTTTGTAGACCTGGATGTCCTGGAACTTGCTCTGTAAAATCAGGCTGGTCTCGAACTCACAGATCCACCGGCCTCTGCTTCTTGGATAGTTTTTTTGTTTGTTTGTTTTGCTATGTTTTGTTTTTGCCCCTGAGAGCACTTTTTCATAATGGGACAAACAAAAGTAACATTTGTTAGAAACCGTTCAACTTTTAAGGACACAATGGTTTTATGCTTGGCTTGTTTCCTATTTTTTCCTAGCAACAGCATTAGGGGAGCCAGATAATTCTGGGGCCTTGTAAGAGACTGATGCTTTTTTATGGGCAGGGTGAGGAGGAGGGGTTGAAGCCTGGCTGCCCCAGAACTCTCTGTTGACCAGACTAACCTTGAATTCAGAGACCTGCTCGCCTCTGACTCCCAAATGTTGGGATTAAAAGCGTGTGTTGTCAAGGACTCCAAAGAGACTTTAAGACAATCACACTTAGGTCTGAACTGGTTGAGTGGTACAATAACCCTTCTCAGAGGTAGCTTTTCAGTGAACTCAAACATCGTAAGGCAATTTACTGGTATAATGCTCATGGTACCCATTCTCATTGTTCCATGATTAAGTCAATGAGATAAACTGATAGATTAACAAAAGTGCATACATTGATTACATGAAGAAAGAGATCTGTAACTTTATATTTCTTCTTGGTGAAGGAGGGCGACCAGCAGACTAGTAGAAGGTAAGTTATACCCCTCATCTGGCCTTGGTGTTTTCAGAGGATCCTCACGCTAAAGCCTTTGCTTCTGGGTGACTAGCTTGTCTTTGGTAATTTAATGGAAATTCAGATCAAGCATATCCGTAAATTTGTTTCCAAAATACCCTCAGTTTGCATTGCAAAGGGCAAAATTTAGACAGGCATTTACCAAATTTTTCTATATCATATATGTAAGGAATATTAAATATATGAAAAAGAATGTTTCCATTGATGTGGGAGAAACTGAGTAGTAAGCTCATGTTATAAAGAATTTGTGAATAAACTTACCTAGCAAATACTAAATAGCACTCTGCCACGAGTCCTGAGGAAGCTCTTTGGTGTAGCGAGCCCAGGAAGCCCAGAATGAGTGGAGTCCTGAGTGAGTGTGTATTGTTGACAAGAGAAAGGTAATGTCAAGGACCCTAGACTACCAGACCCATGAAGGAATGGCAAAACCTCCCATGCCAGGATGAGGCTCAAAGCATGGCAAAACCTCCTCTTGTGAGTGGATGTTGACAGTGTGTGCAGAAAATTACTACCATAACTCCCCAGCCCCAGGGTCACAGAGTTTAGCAAACCCTGTTGCCTTAATGGAACCGTATGCCATGACCTCTGCCTCCTCCTTTATCTGTGTGTAATAACCCTATCTCCCTGCCCAGCTGTACGCAACAATCCTGCCTCCTGTTCAACTCTATATAAGAAACATGCTGAGCTTTGTGGGCGCTGTGTTTTCTACAGCCTAGACACCAGTCTGTCCAATCTCAGCTTTCTGTCCATGAGTCTGTCTTTTATTTCTTCACAGTCCCAGCCATGACTGAGCCCCTGGAAGTCATGTTGGATGTATTCTTTGGATTTTGCTTTGTGGGTATTTTTCAGTTTGTCTAATTTTTCTAATTTGTTGGTCTATATTTTAAGTGTCCATAAATTTCCGTGTAACTACTGATGTCAACAACTGTATTGGAGTTTAGTTCTGTGGCAAGTCGAACAAGGAAAGAGACTCAAAAATAGACACATGTCCTTCAACAAGACTGACTTCCTGTCATGTGACATTTGCAAGTGCATTTCCTAGACCACTCTTATTTCCCCTGAATGTCCGGCATCAAGTTCAGAGGTTCACAGCTTTTCGGGCTTATTAACTTCTCAGCTGACTCGGGTATCAAGGGGAAGTACTGAGATTTTATTACGCTTTCATCATAAAGGATTCAGGTCACTGTTTTAGACATTATTTCCAGGCTTGGAAGAACCGTGTGCTGAGATGGGTGTCAGGCGATGAGGTCCTTCAGCATCACAGCAGACCAAGCCTGCCCACAGCACAAGGGGTTAATCTTTACCTTCATAGCCATTAGAGGGAGAGGGGATCTGAGCTCTACAGATTATTAAAAGTCCTAAATAACATATATGACCTCAATTTAGAAAGCTCTGTCATGGTGCACCCACGAGAGAAGATTATTCTGACACAAGTTTTAGCCAATAGAAAGTCTTGCCAGACAGTGGTGGCGCACACCTTCAATCCCAGCACTTGGGAGGCAGAGGCAGGTGGATTTCTGTGAGTTGAAGGCCAGCCTGGTCTACACAAGTTAGTTCCAGGACAGGTTCTAAAGCTACAGAAAAACCCTGCCTTGGGGAAAAAAAAGTTGAAAGTCTTTATTAGCCAGCCGGCAACTATACTACATATTCAGGAACCCAGTGTAGCACTGAGCCTTTCTCAGGGTGAGCTTTTAATTATAAAAATATATCCTGAGTTGGCTTATTTCTGTTCGCAGGAACAGTTAGCCAGAAGCAGAACTATAGAAGTCAAAAAGCAAGGATAATATATCTAGAGACTTCCCCAGAAGTAGGGACTTTGATGGATTAGGTCTTGGCTTCCATCTTGGCAGGTGGTGCCGTCTACAGGCTGAGCTTTAGGGTCTGAATGGTACTTCCATCCTGGAATCGGGGTGGGGGGCTACTAGTGTCCACCGCTGGTCATTCTATTGCCCCGCCCCACTTGGGGCTGTGCTTGCTAGGCACATAGCAGCTTAGAGAAAAACCTAGGTAGAATATTGTGCGGGTTAAAAAAAATTAATGATTGATTCTGAGTCGCCAGTAACACATGGGTGTCACATTAAGGGGAGAAATAAAATCATTTCCCTTAGGAGTCACTTAACCAAGATCAAGTCCAAATCTGAGTTCTCTATCTACTTCCTGCTTCCTGCTTCACGTGTCTGTTCTGACTTAACGTGTGTCTGTGTGAATGAGTCTGAACTGCCTAGTCGAAGGCTGTCTTGTTGACTCTGTCTCTGTGTGTCTGTCCGTTGTATGAACTGTGCGTGTGGATGGTGTCTGTCTCTCACAAAGGGCTTCACGCTGTATTTTTTTGAACAGCATAGAAAGCATCCCATGGCCTTTAGTGCATTGGTTTCAACCTGCAGGTTGCAGCCTCCTGGGGGGGGGGGTGGTCACTTAGCAGATATCCTGCATATCAAATATTTACATTATGATTTATAACCATAGCAAAGTTACAGTTATGAACGAGCAATGAAATAATTTTATGGTTGAGGGGTCACCTTAATGTGAGGAACTGTATTAAAGGGTCACAGTATTAGGAAGGTTGAGATTTGCAGAAATCTTTAACAGAGTTTTACAAGGATTATATCACTGGCTACAAATGATCATAAGTGAACCAGACAACAAACATTAGTCCTTATAAACTAACATCCATAAATGTCACTTTCAACTTGTATGGTAGATTCTAGAAAGTAGCTTTCAACTTCTGGAGTTGATGTTTACAGCAAATGTTACGCACACATTATCTAGGTAAGGAGTGTGGAAGAGTATGTAACCACAGACTACAGAAATGCACTAGTTTAGGTGGCAAAAGTTGGTTCCATGGGAAATCCGAGACAAGGTTGAATGTTACTTTGTTCTCTTAAACACACGTTAAACAAACAGGCTAGTCTAACACTCTCAAAAGTGACTTACTAACTCTGGCTGTGAGGCCAAAAAAAAAAAAAATCCAGGCTATTAGAAAGTAAGAGATATTATAATATTATATCACTGTTTTCCGTTCAATGAGCAACCCAAACTCTATATTTGCCTGTTTTTTTTTTTTCTAATTAGCAGCTCCTATCCTGAGTCATCTCATTGCATTGTATAAATTTAGTTCAGACAGAAAGGACACATGGGAAGCAGACACTTTTGTTATTGGGGAACCTTTAAAAACCTTGAACATCTCCAAGAACCCTGGAAAGTTTGTTGCTTTTTAATAAAACTAAAATTACTTCTTTTTGTTATTTTATTTTTTCAGGTGTGTGGGTATTTTGGCTGCATATGTACCTATATGTCACATGCATGTTTTTGCCCAGATAGGTCAGAAAATACTATCAGATCCCCTGGAACAGTAGGTACAGACAGTTGTGAGCTGCCATGTGGGTGGTATGTGAAGAAAAAAAAATGAGGTGGAGAGGTAGACAGACTCTCCAACCGCTAAAGGCTGAGACTGCTGTGTGGGAACAGTGCAGCCTCAGCCTTTCTGGTAGAAGATTGATTGCAGTTAGAGAAACTGGGGAGACAGCTCCCAGGAAGTTACAGTTGTGTGTGTGTCTGTGTGTGTCTGTGTGTGTGTCTGTGTGTGTCTCTGTGTGTCTCTGTGTGGTTTAACT